TGTTTTGAGAGAAGAGCAATAAGAAAATGTTATTTGGCAGAACTACAGCGCATTTTTCGCAGTGACATGAACTCAGACGTCTGACCTCAGCAACATTCTAATGTAAACAAAAGGCCATAAATAGTATCAAATTTCAAACGCTCTCAATTGTTCAAATCGCGTTTGCAGACGAGTTTTATTACGGTTTTTAGTACTTCAAAGTGTCCTTTTTCCAACTATACTAGTCACTGTATGTAATTAGGTCCCACTTTTAAGAAATTCAGCGTAGAAAATAGTAGGATTTGAAAGCCGTATTTTGACATGGCGCTCTTTGTCGCTAAATATTGTCACAAATGCTCTGTAATTGAAAACCTAAGTTAGTTTAGATGAAATTACGATAGTTTTCCGGTGCTGGGTGTGAATATCAGAAATTTTGAACAAAAACTTTTGAAATTATGTTTATTTAAATTCAGCCCATTTTTTCGTTTAATTAGCCGGCGAATTTCTCCCGCGACGGTGCGAGACCAAAAAATCGCTAAAACTTTGAAACTAAATATATTTTCAAAATTCCAAACAGCATTTGTTTGTTGTTAAAGTAAATGTAGTTCACGGTAAAAGTTTCGAAATTTATTTTTTGAGCCCCAAGTCAGTGGGCGGTTTTTAGAGACACACGCTCTTAAATAGCATGTTTACCGTTTATTTATTTTTCAATTATATGTGTCAAGCTCCTATCATTATCATGTCCGATAATTTTGCTTCTTATTAAAAAGAGGCCGACGTGATCAAAATTCTTTAGCATATCCTTGCACTTTTGCAGTGTTTTAATCTCAACTGGTAATTCTTGAAAAAGAAGTAATTATGAGTTCTTTTAAGCGTAGGAAAATTTGTTCTCTTGCTTTAAAATGGACAAAAATCCAAAATTGTTTAAGCATGATTTGATGGCTGGTACAATTGAGGACTATCATGAATTTGACGAAGTCGAATCTGAAATTTCCAATGCTGTTTATTGGGCAGGTGAAACTGTCAATGACAATGGAAAGGTGCAACTTAATAGCCCAATCGAAAATGAGGATTTAACATAGGGAACCGAATATAGGGGCAGAAAAGAAAAATGACAGCTTGGTCCAGTACAATCAGAAAGTCATTAACAATCTCTTGCAAAATTGAGGGGCACTTCATGTCATCTGTAGTTTGTTGTGCTTGTAACAATAACGTTGGTGAAATTGGGTGTTTAGATTGCTCTATGGAGTCCACTTATTGCAAAAGTTGTGTAAGAAAAATTCATGAACAATGGAACTTTTGGACACACTGGTTGGAAATAAGGAAAGTATGTATTATGAATGCAAATATTGTAGTATAAATAGGCAAGATATGTTATGCGCTTTTATGGCCGTGGGCTATATCATGTCTCATGATCATATCGAATCTGCATTTTGAAATTGTATATCGAAAATGTTTGTGCTAAATAACACTAGTTGATATTTACGTCTTTTGAAAGCTATATGCTAATTACTGATATATTGTCCGGTGTTGAACAAGCTGAACTACAACATGCAGTATGAGTAAGTTCATATGCTGGCATTGCTGTTTTGACAAGTCAATATCCTGCATGCAGTAGAATTGATTTAGAAAACTCAATACAGATGAGTTATTTGGCATCCATTTCTAATTTGTGTTAGAGAATGGTACTTTCGTTCCTTGGAAGGAGAATGTACCACATTTTTCAACAATCACCATTCTAGATGTTCCTCAGTCAAAAGCATAGAAGTTGTTTGTGTGGATTAGAGAGGTGATGCGTGACAGAATCGTGCATGTTTTTGCTCCTGGTTTTGTCAGTTAAAATTTCACAATACAACCAACTTTTGTCAATTGTAGTAATGCAGCATGCAGCCAAAGTTACCTTTTGCAATTGTGAAAAAGATTTTGTAACCCTTCTGTGATTCAGACTTTGGGGTGCAACCCTGCAACTTGGCATTTCATATCCACATTATGTGCTCATTGATGCATCTGCAATTAGAAGCTCTCATGTTTCTGTAAATGGATTTTGTGCAGCTTATTCGTTTCTAAATAAGGAAAATGTTTTACTCACGGTAAAGATGAAAAGATTTTTACACTTTCAGCTGTTTTAAAAGACGAGCAATTTGATTTTTGATGGGGGAGGGGCATGCCTTTTTGAAAGAGATTGGATATTTATTTCATCAGTTCAGCATGCTCGATATATTTTTTCAGATTTGCGTCGTCCGCGTGCCCATGAAAAATCAAATAGTACTTCCCTACGAGAACCGGAATCCAGATGTATATTTGATTGGCACATATATCCTTCCTCATGCATCATGTATAGCTATGAGGACTGGTTTTGTAAGTTTTCCAACCATGCTGTTGAAAGTATTTCTAAAATAATGCAATGTACAAATCAACTGAGTGCAGTTGTGTCGTAGATACACATTTAACAAATAATCAACACACTATTATCTTTTTTAGAAATACAGGTCAATCTATCCAGCTATTCTTAGTTCTTTTGCACATTTCAAACTGTGTTACTACGAAATGCAACAGCTGACCTTCTTATTCGATGCGCTTGACGATGGTTCTGTATGCCCTGCTTGTCCAAAGGTACATTATTGTAATGAGTCCTGCCAACATGCCTGTAGTGTTGCTTTCTTCTTGTATTAATATTTATAAATTCAGAAATATGAATTTTGAAGAATGGGAAAGTAATGGTCACATTTGGTAGACTATTTGGCCTACCGAGGAAAAGAGCTGCTGGTGTCCATATTGGAGCAACAAGATGTTCACAAATTTGTTGTCAGTTACACTGCTGATATAAAGAAAGATGAAGGGGCATTCAATATGCTATATATACCAACAGAATTTTTAAAAACTCTTTTTGACCATTATAGCCCATATTTAATCATTTTCTATTTTACCTACTATAGCCGGAACATTCTCAGAATAAAAGTTCCTTCTTGATATAAGAGCAGACAATATCCAACAGCAATATTTTGAATACAGACTAATTTACAAAAGCTAATCTATAGACCCCTGCATGCCAATGGGTAGTTAATTTCAAAATTGTCTGCAAATTTCAATGCCGAATTTCGTTCACCCCTTATCAATCCTGAATGTTTCCTGCACCTTTTGCGGTATAAAGACAAATGAACATGTGTGCATGTTTAGTTCTGTATGCCGGCATGAGTTACACTTTACTTTTTGGAAATTTAAATGAAATGAAAATGACGGAACTGTTGATTATTAACAAGTATGGGAATGCATATAGTCAAATACATAGAACTTCATCCCTCGTGACTATATTTGAAAGCAATTTTGGCACCGATCAAAAATTAAGATTTTGAGAACAATTTATTTGCTCTCTTGGTTTTGTACCAATATGGATCAAATTTACGTTAATCATGAAAAGTTTATCAGCGTCTTGATCGCGTTATTAAGGCAAATAAAAAATGCCATCGACAATGCCATCGACTTGCCAGGATGACTTGCTATACCAAAATCCAACAACCTACACTTCTGCTGTCAGTGCCAAATGAAGACATCATGAATCTATCATCACAACTGTGGTCTACATTCGATGCAATGGATCATGTGGCTTCCATGCAACAGTTAACTGTATTGCAAAGGAAGGCAATTGACCTCTGTAACCTGAAAAGTTGTTGTGAAGAGGAAGAAAGTAATGTGCAGATGACATGCAATCTTCTATATCTCATTGCAATTCTGAAATAAAACTTATTGACCAGGTTATTCAATGTTTAAATGTGAATGACTCTCCTATGTTGTATGACATTGGAGCTGCGTCATTGCTTATCAGAAATCGTACGTGTGTTGAATTTCATCTTCATTATTACCGATAATGACAGCAACAAAATTATATAACATTTTAAAGTAAGTCATTATGCATGTATGACGTACAAAGTTATAGTCCTTTGCATATCATACAAAATGAAATATCTCCAAAAACGAAGCAAGAAAACAAAAATCTGTCGAAAAAGTCACTCAACAGTTTTCAATGATCTTTCAAGTTAGACTAAAAAAATAACACCGTCATTTTTAATAACACCATCATGTCATATGCCCTTTAATAGCCTTACTCATGGGTTAAAAATTACGACTATCCAGAATATTTGAGCGTTTTGCAGTTTGTAATGACTGATCCAACGGCTTCTCAGGCTGTCTAGCCTATTATTTATACCACCTTTTTAATAATGTATTTAAATGTATATTGGCATGAGCCCCCTAGATGAGCTTATATAGCTTTTGGGGCAAACGCATAAATATGTTTAATAAATAAATATTTGAACAGCATCAGTAAAGTCAAAATGTTTGCGGCTGTCATGAAGTATTTTAATAAAACACAAAACAATAGACATGCACTCCGAAAATTGTAAAACATTTCATTCTTTATATACGTTTAGACTGTTAATTGATGTGGCATTCCCTGAAGGTGACTTTTGTAAATAGTCGAAATGTAAAGAATGAGTCTATTGTTTTGGGTTTTACTATCAGTTATATGTATTATTATATAGCTTCACTTAAAAGCAGATTGGTAATTACTATTCCATAAAACAGCAAATATAAGTGTGAAAACGAAACTAAAATAACAAGCAATTTATTGGCTGTTTTAACCAATTTTTATTGTAAAGTTGATAATATATATGAAATAGTGATACATGCATGAATGACATTACCAATACCAATTAGTATAGGTAATCACATGGGAAGGAGTGCAATTAATGATTAACACTACGAGTGATATTTGAAAAATATGCCAAAATTGCATGAGCCGCTGTATTTTCCACAGGCTCTTTGTGCCATACAATGTTTCTTAAACTCATTTGTGTGCCAAAATTCAGTTAAATTCGTGCACATTTGTTAGAAATACTTATCTAAATTTCTTGGCAAACACAGGATTTGTTGACATTGTTGATGGTTTTTGCCAGTATCACAACAAGCCATTGAATCCTTTTTTTTATTGTGTATCTGTTGACAGTTGCAATAAATGTTAACTCTCACTGCCTTGGGTTGTTCCATAGGGCGGCGCTTGGAAACATTTCCATACCTTCTTCCTCCATGCATTTTGAAAGGTGAGACCACATTTTCTCCATGTCGAAGTGACAATGACTACCTTTGTAACCCAAGCAAATTGCTGTAGCAAATGCTAGTGCAAATACTCCAGAATCTGTGGAGTTCGTCTGCTGCAACACAGGTTGAACATTCACGTCAATTTCATCCTTATCAAGCTCATATAACATGGCCGCGATTTGTTCTTTTACAGATGTTGCAATTGACCTCGAAAACATGCTGTCAAATAAATTAACAGTCAGAATAGCAAGAAACGTTGGTCACACACACCCAATGCAAGCTTCCATTGTGCAGAATTTGGACAAAATCCCCCCGCATTATGTCGAATTGATCTATAGGGCCAAAAGTGGTTGACAACATTTTTGGGAAGTGTCTACGTAGAAGGTTTTACCCAGTCATTATTTCCCTGATCAGTAATCGTTGGTTTCGGTGATCGTTGGTTTCATCATTTTCTTCGAATTTATAATTTGGCCGTTTCATTCCGTTTGGGACATTTCCTCTTTGACATTGTCTGCTCGAGGTGTAGGCTTTCTTCACCATTTTTGCCATGTTTTGGATTTCATCTTCACCTAACACACTGTATTCCATCATGTTGTTTGCTTCTTCCATCGAAATATTTAAAATATTCTGGCAAGTGCTTCAGGGAATAATAGATACCATTTGTATTCATCTTTTTCCTTTGGAAACTGTTTCATGATGAACTTGACTGCATTTTCTAGTTGATCTTCCGTATATAGCCCAAGATTATTATTCAATTTGAGGTGAATCTTTTTCACATCTGGGTACAAAGCTGAAGCACCTTTTTGAGAATGTCATGTTTCCAATTTTCAATTTCTCCACTACACACCAAATGTAAATCTTTTGTGACACCCTCCAACTGTCAGAGAATTTCAGCTTCACACAGTTCTCTAAGATTTCTTTCTTGCACTCTTGCATGAAAATTGTTGTCTTTAGTTTGGGGAATCTCCATTGTTGGCTGGCTCGGTCCTGGCTGAGTTTTGCTATATGTATCAACGTTGGTCGGGTTAGAGGCTGGGTTTTCAACAGAATTCACCTGTGACTCCATTTCAGGGTTTGGCGTGACAATGTCACCTGTCGTTTCAGTAGTCGACGCTTCGGATTTCTGCTTTTCTCCAACAGAAATCAATCTTCTTCAGCTTCTAAGATCATCTTTAACTGACTACGACCATAATGTACTGGTAGTTTTAAAGTAGACTTGCCCGCCGGTAAACTTAAATTTGTATAGATGATGGCTCTTTCTATATAAAATTTTGAAACAAAATTGATTCGGATTTGCAATCGAACGTGCTAGCCACAAAAACTGGATACTAATAGCTGTTTTGCAAAATTGAGAGCAATTTCAAATCTGTTCAGTAGTTTTTTATACAACCTGTAGTTTCAATATTATGTTTCTAAAAATGTAAATAATTGGAATTTGCTCTATACATGAATGACCATGAATGACCACGAGTTATTTCTGTGTTTAAAAGTCATAAAATAAACCATGGAAATAGTGTACTTAGGATAAGGCTCAAAAATTGTCTTTTTCCAGCTCAATATCTTTTTTTCTTAAAATTTTATTGAAGGGAAATTTTTTTAATATTGATTTGTGACATTTTTGAAATTTTCTAATAACGTTGGATAGAATTGTTTAAAATTGAAGAAAATAATTATTATACAAGTGAGAAGAAAAAAATCATACACAAAAGTAACAAATTGCAATGTTCAGGAGAGCATTGTGAATGTGTCCAATACATTCCGTCTTCATCTTATGTCAAGTGAAGAAACAGGCATTTGTTGGATACTATAGTGTAGTATAATGCAAAAACCCTAGGGAATCACATTAAAATAGTTTTTATTATTATTTTATGGTTTTTAAACACAGAAATCACTTGTGGTCATTAACATGGTCACTTGTGTGTACTTTTAGACAAGACCGTTATAGCCTTTAAAGAATTAAAAAAACACAATGAAAAATCTCCCACAAATTGTTTACAAGTTAGCAAATTAATTTTTTAAATTTAAATGGTTAAAAATATACATTTCTGAAAAAATAATCGGCCAAATGAGTGAACCTTAAAACATATAAACAAAACAGAATAATATGAGAATAATAAAAAGTCTATGAATTCAGACCTTGTATATATAATAAAACAGTTATTCCACTCATTCTTGTTAAGAATGTATCCAAATCATTTAAAGTAAGTTTATTATTTTGATTATTTTACAGTTGACAAGTGTTACTGACAGTGGTTGAGCCTCCTGCGATAATACTACTTTCTTGCACATGTAGACTATACTAATTATTTCTATATTTTAGGTTTTTTCAATCCATCTAAAACACTCGCATTCTGTGCTTTGTCAGATACAAGATCCTTGACAGACCGCCTTGCAGTTCGTACTTTTTCAGATATAAAACACTTGTGTACGCACTCATGTTTCAGTCAATTTGATCAGTTGCGTTTGATTGCTTGTATTTCAAACGAAAGTGATCACAAAATGTCGACTGTGCAACGTTTTGCACTGAATGGAAATCTGCCTTTATGGTCCACAAGCGCTTATAAATTTTGGTACTACTGGCCTGAAACTTAACATATTGATTCAATAAGTTTAATATCAACATATTTATTAAACAATAGCTATTATGTCAAAATAACGAAACGTTTTCAAACTTTTTGTGACTGTTCATCTGTAGTTGAAAGGGATGGTAATAACAAGGTCAACAGGTCAAAGTTCATCACTGATTGACTATTCAAAGTAAACAATGTTTATATTTTCCTACAAATTTAGCTTTATTGTGGCTTACTGAAAGTATAAAAATAGGTACGCAATGCGTACATGTGGCTAGCCTGGTAAACTTTAACTCCCCAAACCCTCCTCCAAACCCAGAGAGCCTGCCATGCTGGTTAACTTTAATAGTAATAAGAGGAGATATTATTGTACAATGCATATGCAATCTCTGTGGTGGTTGGCTAAGAATCTACAAACAATTCTCAATGTCTTGCTGCTTCTGACATTGAAAAATTTTCGGTAGGTGACATAACTTCTAGTATGCATGGCTCACCTACAAAACTCTATGCAACTGCATGTGTTCTTGCATTTGCAATTGTATAATATATCAATTACTGTGTCCAGCCCTCAGCTTCAGTAGATAACATTGTCATAGCTGTTGAGGTTGACTGCATATCGTGCATGAGACTTGGCACTCCTAGGAGGGGGGAGCTAGGTGTTCCAGCATCATACACCCTTCCCACAATGTCTTAAAATTTGGGTTTCTGAAATGACATTTCCAGCATTATTTGAACACATTTTTGAAAGATTACTTTTCTTAACCCATTAAGTTGCAAAGCTTCCCAATTGACGAGTAAAATCATCTGGGTGTTGGACAGGTAAAAAAAGTAGGGTGCATTGGGGCACATTGCGGTTCAATGGGTTAACCAATATTGTAGGGGCTTTTCATGTTACAGGACAAATGAAGCATTATTGACTGCAAAACTAGTGTGGAAAATATAAAGAGAAAGTAAAGTCATTTCACACATTTCTGAGTTTTGCATTTGTCTTAATTTTAGCAAATTCTGTAGATTATACTTTAATAGTGGATGCTTATACCCAGGGGATGCTTATACCCAGATGGTGCTTATACCCAGAGGGTGCTTAATGGCAGGGTTTGCGTATTCTTGGGTTCCACTACAGCATTATGCAGTGAATCTGACGGGGGGTCAACCTCAAATGTATTGATGCTTATGCTGTACTGGAGTGAGGAAATGATACGAAATTCCATGTATTTGCCACCGAACACAAGGCTAATACATAAAACAAACAGTCGACTCACTCTGATAACTGTGTTTTGTTTTAGAGTTGACCGCCCGTCACTTTTGTGATGTCATATGAAACCCAAGAATACGGGTATACTTGCTGGATGCTTATTATACCCAGAGGGTGTTTTAGCAAATAGTTTCATATGACAATGTGAAAACAGATTAGATGATGAACACAACAATTTTTATACATCCAAGGAGATATATACTAAAAAATGCAAATATTAAAAAATTACTAAAATAATTTCATCTACATGGACTGCTGTACTAAAGCAATAGTCAAGGTTGTTTTTTTTACTAATATAGCAATAGTCAAGATAGTTAATCCCAGCACAAATGGCAATTGGTTTGCAATATACCTACAATACTCCTGGCCTTGTCTTGGTTTTGTTTGGTACGTGGCCTTTCGCGTACTGTAAATAGCCCAGTATGATCAATACGAGCACAATGGGCCTTTCATGTGTAATATTGTATTTTTCAATTTTTGATTTGGCTCCTTTGTATACTGTATTTCTGATTTGATACGTCGACTTCGTGTATAAGAATGCCAGATCTATATTCAGACCAAAAATATATCTTTTGACCAGAGCAAGCCAAAATGGCGTTGTAAATAGTACAATAAAAGCAAACTTAAACAAAAATAGAAATGAGCAAATAATACCTTTTACTCAAAAGAACACAAGGAATAACGCGATATGCTGCTCATGCTACTGTGTAGAAGTAGAAGTGAAGTCCTCAAACTGGACCAAAATCATCAAAATGCCTCGAAATCACAGCTCGAAATGCAAATGTAAAATGTCGGCAGAAAAATACGAGCGCTTCCGATTGCTCCTGATACTTTACGAAAATCCGGACTGGACACCACCGCCACCACGTTTGTAGTATGTGATAGTGGCTAACCCGCAAACGGGCTAGCCACAAAAACCCGTGGAAACTGTGAATTACTATAATAGATTGAAAATAATTATTGAACTATGATCCCGACCATGATTGAAATTATCGAAGTAGAATGCTATTTCGTTGTATTAAATTTCAGTAGACAATAGTTCATGTTTATATTCACAGAATGTGATGTAATTTTGAAATTTGAAGTTTTACACACAATATAATCAGTGCTAGCACAATGGCTTCGTTTCAATTTGAGCATATAAAAAATTAGAATTTTGATAGCGTGGCCTTTCACAAACATTAAACACCTGATAATTGATAAATAAATATCAGTGCGAGCACAACGGCACCAAAACAATAACAAATTGTCAAATAACAGAATATAAGCTAAATTTAAAACAGCAAAGCTTTACCTACCTCAATCTATTTTCCTAAGGCTAAATTACATAAATTTTCGATGAAACTCAATATTTTGCATATTGAAGTTTCAACTTTCATATTGGAATCTGTCACGTGATTTACCACTGCCGGTACAACACACTCAACACAAAATTTAAAGCTATATATGGGCATGCAACATGGGAGTAACCAACCTTTTTCTTGAGTTAAATTACTTTACTAAGTAAAATATCAGCCAGGTTGTGATGTCAACTCTTTAGTTATTGTACATGTCATGCCAATCTGTCTTTGTGTCATCCGTCAATTCATCCCATTTGAGCCATAATAATCGATTCCTCTCTGCTCCAAATGGAACATTTTTGAATTTGTCTGCAAAAATATATTAAATACCAATGAGGATATATTACTAAGTGACATACATAGATATAATTGTTGAAGTAACTATAAAACTTGAAAGTGGATAATTTGCATGCAATGTGCAAAACAAACAGAGTCACATAATTG